TTTTGCGTTCCCTCGCAGATGTTTTGCATTCTCGCAAAACTGTTTTTCCACAAACACTTCCTGTTCACTTCATACATGTCAACCCTCCTGTTTTACCAGGATTCTCCCAACCCTTCCGTTTTTGCTGGGATTCTCCCATATTTCTCTTTCTTTTCATTAAAGCTGTGGGTCGATCATCGCTCTTCATATGCAACCTGTGAATTAGCGAATGCATGTATACGGATGTGCTAGGTATGATAAACTGATCCCAGATCAGCTTCTATACACACCATTTAAAGCGACACCTCTGTTATCAAACAAGTGATGAGCAGCAAATGAATCTCTCATTTTCTTTTATTTCATAACAGAGGTGTCAATTTAAGAATGCACAGATCTATAATGAAAGTATTCCATTACTTAAGTAACTGTTTGTGCTCATTTAAGAGAAAATGAGTTGTGTTTAAAATAAAACACACAGGACGGACATGTTTACATATTGTTAAGTATATTTGTCTGTTTAAACACAGATCTGAATCCTGCACTTTAGCTCCTCTTTAAATGGCATGTACAGAAGTTGATCTGGGATCAGTTTATCATTCCCTGATTCAGAGGTTGCATATGAAGGGCGATGATCAACCCACAGCTTTTAATGGAAAGAAAGTAAATGCAGACATTTTTATATTTGTTTCAGAATGCTTTCAAAAATAAAAATATATGAGAAATATGGGAAAATACTTAACAATAGGATGATAGAGGGATAGAATGGTAAAATACGGGAGGGTTGACAGGTATGAAGTGAACAGGAAGTCTGGATAACGCAAAACATCTTTGTGAGGGAAAAAAAACTTGAAAATATATATATATATTCCTATCACTGTTTTTTTTTCTACCATCCTTTTTTTTTCTCCCACTCAGTTTTTTTTTCTTCCACCCAATTTTTTCTTCACCATCACGTCCCTTCCGAGTCTCCGTACTATTGCCTTAAAATGTAACTTAATAAATTTTTTTTAATGACATTTGATTGTAACATTTAACTTTTTCCTAACACTGATTTTGGTTGGTTAAGGTTTTGTGAAGCGTGATTCAGTAATGCTGATTTTACTATATTTATTTAGCGGTTATAGAATAGTCTAACCGTGGATTGGCTTGCATGTATGGGCATAGTTTGACGTCTTTACCTAAAACTTTAAACCTTTATAGGCCTATTATAGGCCCATATAAGGATAATAAAATTTGATATAAAGCACTCGTTTGGCAATGAACCATGATCTGTCTGCGTTGATAATGGTATAAAATCAATAATAGCAAAACTGCATATCATTATTACTATAAAAAAGTATGTTACTGCCTTGAGTCAGTAACTTAGGCAGTAATGCAAAGTAATAATTAATGTGAATAAATAGCCTAAATGAAAGGAACAAGAGGGACCAAAATTAGTCATGGGATTAAAATGCCTCCTCAGTTATGATATCCTGGCGCCGGGCCTGCTACCTTCGCAAGTATATTATAAACATACCGGAAGTAGGGCTATGCAATTAATCGAAAATTCGATTTTGATTATGGCTTCAAACGAATATGAAAATCATTAATCGAGATAAAACGATTGTTGCATCATATATCGTCCTCTTTTCAGTTGTACACATTTGTTGCTCTGCAAAGCTCAGTTTCACGTGAATATTACTAAAAGCATGCATTGTAATTTTGCAGCACGGCATGTGCATCATTCATTAATGTACATTCGAATCATTCATGTTTTAAAAGCATAAATGAGACCGCATGGTGTGTGTATGCGGCACACACATATTCGCACACTGTGTGCTCAGAGCAAAGCACACACATCTAAAGTTATCTTAATGTGAGCATTTTACTATTCAAATAGGTATCAAAACGCGATGTTCAGTGATTATTCATATTAACTCTCATTTAAGTAATAAACAAACTAGTTGAGAATCAAAAGACATGTGAAAGAGAAACCATAAATCAGAACCGTACTGCTCTTAAAGTGAAAGTGCGTGATATTCCTGCTGCCGACTGTTTTTACCATTAATCAAACAACAAAAGAAGACAATCTCTCACTGTTCTTGACTGAAGGACTTTAGTAGCTATAATCAAAGTTTTTTTTTTTTACAGTGAAGATGCTTAAAGCACAGTTTGTTTCATATTTTTATTCTATTGTACATATTTCCCTTTCCTTTGCAGGGAGGAAAATAAATGAATACAGTTGAAATCTAAATTATTAGCCCTACTTTTCCCCCCAATTTCTGATTAATGGAAAGACTATTTTTTTAACCCATTTCTAAACATAATAGTTTTAATAACTAATTTTTTATAACTGATTTCATTCATCTTTGGTATGATGACAGCACATATTTTACTAGATATTTTCCAAAATACAAGCATTCAGATTAAAGTATGATTCAAAGGCTTAATTAGGATAATTGGGCAAGTCATTGTATACCAGTAATTTCTTCTGCTGACCATCAAAAACTATTTTGCTTAAGGAAGCTATTAATATTGACCTTAAAATAGATTTCAAAATATTTAAACCTGCTTTTATTTTAGCTGAAATAAAACAAATAAGACTTTCTCCAAAGGAAAAAATATTATAGGAAATACTGTGAAAAATTCCTGAATCTGTTAAACATCATTTGGGAAATATTTATAAAAAATAATAATAATAATTTTACAGGAGCCCTAATAATTTTGACTTGAACTGATAATCATTTTGAATAATTGTGATTAAAATTATGACCAAAATAATCGTGATTCAGATTTTTCCCATAATAGAGCAGCCCTAGCGGGAAGCACTGTAATTGATAAAAAAATAAGGTGTGTATTAAGGACATTTCAGTATTTATTAAGTGTTGTTCACAATAAATAATAATCATATTAATAAAAACACTGATTTAAAAAGTATTTTGTGACACCTACATCTATCATTACAAACACAGGTTTGTTTTAAAATAATAACTCTGTACCAAAGCGTTTATTTTAGGCCTGTATAAACTATAAAACATCTCTGCAAATTAATGCAATGCAATATAAAAAACAAAATTCAATACTTTGTCAATATTGCCTTGTCTCTCAGCGCACACGCACTGAACTTCAAGTAACAGACAGAAAAAATCATTTAAAATAATGTAGCACACCTTGCAGCTTTCTTTAAAATTATGATAGGCCTGTATATAAAAATAGCGCCAGACCGTTTCTCATTATTTCGCTGGTAATGTTTTTAAATAAATAATTAGGCCTACTTAAATATTAATTTGCTATTAATGTACAGTAATTGAGACAAAATAACATAATAGTAAAATATAAATATAATAAAAGTAAAATAAGAGTAATAATAAGAAAAAAATAAGATTTTTAATAGGTAAAAATAAGAGTAAAATATAATCAACAAAATGTAAATTAAAACTGTGAATTAATAGGTAAATAAAAAGCTTATTTATTGACCATCTTTGTCCTATCACTTTAAAATAACAAACACTGTTTATCTCTATATTTAGGCTAAAACACTGCTTTATTTAATAAGACCTACTCATTGCATTTATGCTTGTACTTTCATTTTAGTTGTCTTTTAATTCTTTATGTCTTCTTTATTCTTTAATTCTATAATGAATCCTCACTGAACTTAACAAGTTTACAATGATAATAAACTTGTTCACAAGTATGTATTGATTAATGAAGAAATTATAATGCTTTGTTTCATTGTTTATCTTTATTTACAAATAGAAAAGTATTTACAGCTACTGTATAGGCTACGTTTTGAAGAAAAAAAAAGAAAAAAAAACAGAACTGAACTGAAACTAAATTATTAAAAAAAAACTTGTGAAACTTAATTTATGTCTTGCGGCAAAACTATTTGTATTATACTTTTAGTGATCTGCTTGAGGTAGGTCAATTTATTTTTATGCTTTTGATGAAGTAGCATTCAACTTAAGCTCTTTAGATCATGCACTGGACCGTTTCTCAGTGTTTTGCCGCAATGTCTTTAAATAAATAATTATTTAGGCCTATTTTTATTATTCATTTATTTTTTATTATTCATTTATTGTTATGTACAATAATTTAGACATAAAATGAGATAGTAAAATATAATCAACAACGAAAATGTAAATAAAAACGTAAATGAAAAAGCTTATTTAATGACTGTCTTAGTCCTATCAAAACAGCAAACACTGAACATCTCTTTATATTTGGGCTAAAACACTGCTTTATTTATTTATTTAGGCCTACTTATTTGTTTGTACTATGTGTTTGTGCTTTCATTTTAGTTAGCGTTTATTTCTTTAATTTTATTTTCCAAAATTAACCCTCATTGCACTTAAGGGCCCTATCATACACCCGGCGCAATGTGGCGCAATGCGCGACGCAATAGTTTTTTTCAGTTCATTCATAACAATTTGCTTTTGTATGTTATTATTAGCAGTATTAATTATTATATCCATATTTATATTTTTTTATTAAAAAAAAGCTTAGATTTGCCCACCTGCAGGTTTTAGACCATATGCGGGCAACATGTTTTTTAGGATGTAACTCAGGTTTATGACAACACTTCATTTGCTGAAAATTAGAACTGCATTTAGAAATAGTTTTGAAACAAATATTTGCGCTTAACAAACGCAATTAATTATTATTATTAGGCTAACTGATGTCTGTGCGTAAAGATTTTCCTATCCACCAAGAGCGAAAGTGAAAGTAGATCATTTATCTCTCATTCTCGCGCGGTAGATGCTCTGTTTAACAGTTTTCTGTTAAAAATAACTGTTAACTGTTTGCTTGTGAAATGCTCAGTTTTTCCACTTAAACTTACTTTACGTCATGTAAATAGCAAATGCGCTTATGGCACGATGCAAGGCTATTAAAGGGAATGGGAGATGAGACTCTGATTGGTTTATTCTCAAAATACACCTATAACTCATTAAGAAAATAAACTCAACCATTTAGATCATGCTTAAAATTTGCTTAAAATAAAAAAGGCCTAAAATGCACATTATTTTCAAAGTAATTTTAGTTACTTAGTTTCTTCCTGCATTGTTATTGACAGAAATTCTTACCATCACCACCATCACTGTCTGGCTTCCTGGATTTCTGTCAAGATTCACCTGTTATTTCCTGAAGGGAGAAAGTGAGAGAGACATTATTATTCACTTATTTAAATTATTTTATTATTTAAATTATTATTAGTTTATTTTCTTAATAAATTAAAACGTGCACTCATTGACTTCCATGTTATTATTTTTCCTACTATTGGACTTTTCTACTTTACAAGTTTATTTTTTCTGTTAAACAAAAAACAAGGTATTTTGATGGAAGAAGAAAACCTGCAATCATTGACTTCCAAAATAAAAACACAAAAAATATGGAAGTCAATGAGTGCAGGTTTTCATCTTCCATCTTCTTTTGTGTTTAACAGAAAAAGTAAACCCATAAAGGGTGTGCAAATGATGGCACATTTGTCATTTTTGGGTATGAGCCAGTCACAGAGTTGTTTTCTACAGAGGTTTGTTAATTCTTGACAAAAGAATTAACAAACCTCTGTAAAAAACAACTCTGTGTTGGTCAAAGCGACTGGCTCATGGAGGTACTGAAACAGAAAAGCAAAGATAAAGAAAATTCAACATTCGTTTACTTACTTTTAAAGTCAAGCATAACAAACCATGCCCTCATAAACCATGAAGAAACACATGTTTTAATAGTCTACTGCTAGCACCATGTAAAACTACACATACTGTGTCCTCATAAACCATGAAGAAACACAGATTGAAGGAAGTGAAGGATGAGCAAATGATGACAAAAATGTCATTTTTGGGTGAACTATCCTTTTAAGGAGTGTCAAAATAGCATTACAAAAGAATTAACAAACCTCTGTAGAAGACAGCTCTGTTTGTGTTTGTCAAAGTGACTGTCTTATGGAGGTGCTGAAAGAGAAAAGTAAAGAAAGATGAAGAAAACATGACATTCGCTTACTGAAAGCTTTAAGTCTTGCAAAACCAATCATGTCCTCATAAACCATGAAGAAACACACACGTTATAAAATAACAGTCTACTGGTAACATTGTAAACCTACACATACTGTGTCCTCATAAACCATGAAGAAACACACAGATTTATTAAAACAATATCCTACTGCTAAGTCACATCCAATAGACATACTTGGTCCTCATAAACCATGACTAAACACACAGGACTGCTACACTGCATTTAGCAGAAATAGGAAACTGTTACTTTAGCACTTAAAAGGATGGTTCATCCAAACATGAAAATGTACTTACTATTAATATACCCCAAAGCATTCCAACCCTTTAAGGGTTTATTTCTTCTGATAAACAACAAAAACAAGATATTTTGATGGAAGAAGAAAACCTGCAATTATTGACTTTCATAATAGAAAACACAAAAAATATGAAAGTCAATGGTTACAGGTTTCCATCTTCTTTTGTGTTTAACAGAAAAATAAACCCATAAAGATTTAAAACAAGTAAAGGGTGAGCAAATGATGACACAATTGTCATTTTTGGGTGTACTATCCCTTTACTCTGCCCTCATAAACCATGAAGAAACATGTTATAATAGTCTACTGCTAGCACTATGTAAACCTGTGTAAACCTACACATACTGTGTCCTCATATACCATGAAGAAACACAAAGATTTAATAAAACAACAACCTACTGCTAAGTCACATCCAATAGACATACTTGGTCCTCATAAACCATGACTAAACACACAGGACTGCTAAACTGCATTTAGTAAAAATAGGAAACTGTCATTTTAGCACTTAAAGGGATGGTTCACTCAAAAAATGAACATTTACTTACTATGAATTTACCCTCAAGTGTTCCAAACCTTTAAGGGTTTATTAATTCTGATAAAAAAACAAAAACAAGATATTTTGATGGAAGAAAAAAACCTGCAATCATTGACTTCCACAATAGAAAAAAACAATAATATGAAAGTCAATGGTTACAGGTTTCCATCTTTTTTAAAGTATTTTATTTTGTCTTTAAAGAAAATAATTAAACCTTTGGAACAAGTAAAGGGTGAGCAAATGATGACATAATTGTCATTTTTGGGTGAACTATCCCTTTAAGGAATGTCAAAACAGCTTGACAAAAGAATTAACAAACCTCTGTAGAAGAGAACTCTGTGTTTGTCGAAGCATTTAGCTCATTGGGGTACTGAAAGAGAGAAGCAAAGATAAAGAAAATTTTATATTGGTTTACTAACTGTTTTAGGTTTTGCATTACAAACTATGCCCTCATAAACCATGAAGAAACACACAGATTTAATAAAACAATAGTCTACTGCTAAGTCACATCCAATAGACATACTTGGTCCTCATAAACCATGACTAAACACACAGGACTGCTACACTGCATTTAGCAGAAATAGGAAACTGTTATTTTAGCACTTAAAAGGATGGTTCATCCAAACATGAAAATGTACTTACTATTAATATACCCCAAAGCATTCCAACCCTTTATAGGTTTATTTCTTCTGATAAACAACAAAACAAGGTATTTTGATGGAAGAAGAAAACCTGCAATCATTGACTTCCATAATAGAAAACACAAAAAATATGGAAGTCAATGGTTACAGGTTTTCACCTTTTTTCAAAGTATCTTCTTTTGTGTTTAACAGAAAAAATAAACCCATAAAGATTTAAAACAAGCAAATGGTGGGCAAATGATGACACAATTGTACTTTTGGGTGAACTATCCCTTTACTATGCCCTCATAAACCATGAAGAAACATGTTATAATAGTCTACTGCTAGCACTATGTAAACCTATGTAAACCTACACATACTGTGTCCTCATATACCATGAAGAAACACACAGATTTAATAAAACAACAACCTACTGCTAACTCACATCCAATAGACATACTTGGTCCTCATAAACCATGACTAAACACACAGGACTGCTAAACTGCATTTAGTAAAAATAGGAAACTGTCATTTTAGCACTTAAAGGGATGGTTCACCAAAAAATGAACATTTACTTACTATGAATTTACCCTCAAGTGTTCCAAACCTTTAAGGGTTTATTTCTTCTGATAAAAATCAAAAACAAGATATTTTGATGGAAGAAAAAAACCTGCAATCATTGACTTCCACAATAGAAAACACAAATGATATGGAAGTTAATGATTACAGGTTTCCATTTTTTAAGTGTTTTATTTTGTCTTTAACAGAAGAATTAAACCTATAAAGGTTTGGAACAAGTAAAGGGTGAGCAAATTATGACAAAATTGTACTGTTTGGGTGAACTAGCCCTTTAAGGAGTGTCAAAATAGCATTACAAAAGAATTAACAAACCTCTGTAGAAGACAACTCTGTTTGTGTTTGACAAAGCGACTGGCTTATGGAGGTGCTGAAGGAGAGAAGAAAAGAAAGATGAAGAAAACATGACATTCGCTTACTGAAAGCTTTAAGTCTCGCAAAACCAATCATGTCCTCATAAACCATGAAGAAACACACACGTTATAAAATAACAGTCTACTGCTAACATTGTAAACCTACACATACTGTGTCCTCATAAACCATAAAGAAACACACAGATTTAATAAAACAATAGTCTACTGCTAAGTCTCATCCAATAGACATACTTGGTCCTCGTAAACCATGACTAAACACACAGGACTGCTACATTGTATTTAGCTAAAATAGGAAACTGTAATTTTAGCATTTAAAGGGATGATTCATCCAAAAATGAACATTTACTCACTATTAATTTACCCTCAAGTGTTCCAAACCTTTATGGTTTTATTTCTTCTGTTAAACACAAAAGATACTTTGAAAACCGATGAAAACCTGTAACCATTGACTTTCATATTATTTGTTTTTTCTATTATGGTAGTCAATGGTTACAGGTTTACATCTTTTTTTTAAGTATTTTCTTTTGTCTTTAACAGAAGAATTAAACCCATAAGGTTTAAAACAAGTAAAGGATGAGCAAATTATGACACAATTGCCATTTTTGGGTGTACTATCCCTTTAACGAGTGTCAAAAAAGCTTGACAAAAGAATTAACAAACCTCTGTAGAAGACAACTCTGTTTGTGTTTGTCAAAGTGACGAGCTCATTGGGATACTGAAAGAAAAAAGCACAGAAAGTTTAAGAAGACATGTCATTGGCTTACTGAAAGCTTTAAGTCTCGCAAAACCAATCATGTCCTCATAAACCATGACAAAACACACAGGACTGCTACACTGCATTTAGTAGAAATAAGAAACTGTCTTTTTAGCACTTAAAGGGGTTGTTCACCCAAAAATTAACATTTACTTACTATGAATTTACCCTTGAGTGTTCCAAACTTTTATGTGTTTATTTCTTCTGATAAACAACAAAAACAAGATATTTTGATGGAAGAAGAAAACCTGCAATCATTGACTTCCACAATAGAAAACACAAATAATATGAAAGTTAATGATTACAGGTTTCCATCTTTTTTTAAGTATTTCATTTTGTCTTTAACAAAATAATTAAACCTATAAACGTTTGGAACAAGTAAAGGGTGAGCAAATTATGACACAATTGTTATTTTTGGGTGCACTATCCCTTTAAGGAGTGTCAAAATAGCTTGACAAAAGAATTAACAAACCTCTTTAGAAGACAACTCTGTGTTTGTCGAAGCATTTAGCTCATTGGGGTACTGAAAGAGAGAAGCAAAGATAAAGAAAATTTTACATTGGTTTACTAACTGTTTTAGGTTTTGCATTACAAACTATGCCCTCATAAACCATGAAGAAACACACAGATTTAATAAAACAATAGTCTACTGCTAAGTCACATCCAATAGACATACTTGGTCCTCATAAACCATGACTAATCACACAGGACTGCTACACTGCATTTAGCAGAAATAGGAAACTGTTATTTTAGCACTTAAAAGGATGGTTCATCCAAACATGAAAATGTACTTACTATTAATATACCCCAAAGCATTCCAACTTTTTATGGGTTTATTTCTTCTCATAAAAAACAAAACAAGGTATTTTGATGGAAGAAGAAAACCTGCAATCATTGACTTCCATAATAGAAAACACAAAAAAATATGGAAGTCAATGGTTACAGGTTTCCACCTTTTTTCAAAGTATCTTCTTTTGTGTTTAACAGACAAAATAAACCCATAAAGATTTAAAACAACTAAAGGGTGAGCAAATGATGACACAATTGTACTTTTGGGTGAACTATCCCTTTACTATGCCCTCATAAACCATGAAGAAACATGTTATAATAGTCTACTGCTAGCACTATGTAAACCTATGTAAACCTACACATACTGTGTCCTCATATACCATGAAGAAACACACAGATTTAATAAAACAACAACCTACTGCTAACTCACATCCAATAGACATACTTGGTCCTCATAAACCATGACTAAACACACAGGACTGCTAACCTGCATTTAGTAAAAATAGGAAACTGTCATTTTTGCACTTAAAGTGATGGTTCACCCAAAAATCAACATTTACTTACTATTAATTTACCCTCAAGTGTTCCAAACTTTTATGGGTTTATTTCTTCTGTTAAACACAAAAGATACTTTGAAAACTGATGAAAACCTGTAACCATTGACTTTCATATTATTGGTATTTTCTATTATGGAAGTCTATGGTTACAGGTTTCCATCTTTTTAAAAAAAAAGTATTTTCTTTTGTCTTTAACAGAAGAATTAAACCCATAAGGTTTAAAACAAGTAAAGGATGAGCAAATGATGAAACAATTGTCATTTTTGGGTGAACTATCCCTTTAACGACTGTCAAAATAGCTTGACAAAAGAATTAACAAACCTCTGTAGAAGACAACTCTGTTTGTGTTTGTCAAAGTGACGAGCTCATTGAGATACTGAAAGAAAGAAGCACAGAAAGATTAAGAAGACATGTCATTGGCTTAATGAAAGCTTTATGTCTCGCAAACCAATCATGTCCTTATAAACCATGAAGAAACACACAGATTTAATAAAACAATAGCCTGCTGGTAAGTCACATCCAATAGACATACTTGGTCCTCATAAACCATGACTAAACTCACAGGACTGCTAAACTGCATTTAGTAAAAATAGGAAACTGTCATTTTAGCACTTAAAGGGATGGTTCACCCAAAAATGAACATTTACTTACTATGAATTTACCCTCAAGTGTTCCAAACCTTTAAGGGTTTATTTCTTCTGATAAAAAACAAAAACAAGATATTTTGATTGAAGAAGAAAACCTGCAATCATTGACTTCCACAATAGAAAACACAAATGATATGGAAGTTAATGATTACAGGTTTCCATATTTTTAAAAGTATTTTATTTTGTCTTTAACAGAAGAATTAAACCTATAAACGTTTGGAACAAGTAAAGGGTGAGCAAATGATGACACAATTGTCATTTTTGGGTGAACTAGCCCTTTAAGGAGAATCAAAATAGCTTGACAAAATAATTAACAAACCTCTGTAGAAGACAGCTCTGTTTGTGTTTGACAAAGTGACTGTCTTATGGAGGTGCTGAAAGAGAGAAGTAAAGAAAGATGAAGAAAACATGACATTCGCTTACTGAAAGCTTTAAGTCTCACAAAACCAATCATGTCCTCATAAACCATGAAGAAACAAACGTTATGAAATAAGTCTACTGGTAACATTGTAAACCTACATATACTGTGTCCTCATGAACCATGAAGAAACACACAGATTTAATAAAACAATAGTCTACTGCTAAGTCACATCCAATAGACATACTTGGTCCTCGTAAACCATGACTAAACACACAGGACTGCTACACTGCATTTAGCAGAAATAGGAAACTGTAATTTTAGCACTTGAAGGGACTTTTTAAGTCACGCATAACAAACCATGCCCTTATAAACCATGAAGAAACAAGTTATAAGTCAACTGCTAGCACTATGTAAACTTACACATACTGTGTCCTCATAAACCATAAAGAAACACACAGATTTAATAAAACAATAGCCTGTTGCTAACTCACATCCAATAGACATACTTGGTCCTCATAAACCATGACTAAACACACAGGACTGCTAAATTGCATTTAGTAAAAATAGGAAACTGTCATTTTAACACTCAAAGAGATTGATCACCCAAAAATGAACATTTACTCACTATTAATTTACCCTTAAGTGTTCCAAACCTACAAACAAACTAGATATTTTGACAGAAGAAGAAAACCTGCAATCAATGACTTCCATAATAGAAAACAAAAATAATATGAAAGTCAATGGTTAGAGGTATCCATCTTTTTTCAAAGTATCTTATTTGTTTTGTCAAACAGAAAAAAAGAAACCCATAAAGGTTTGGAACACTTGAGGCTAAATTAATGGTGAGTAAATGTTCATTTTTGGGTGAATCATCCCTTTAAGTGCTAAAATTAGTTTCCTATTTCTGCTAAATGCAGTGTAGCAGTCCTGTGTGTTTAGTCATGGTTTATGAGGACCAAGTATGACTATTGGATGTGACTTAGCAGTAGAATGTTTTTTTTTTTTTATTAAATCTGTGTTTCTTCATGGTTTATGAGGACACAGTATGTGTAGTTTTACAATGTTAACAGAAGACTGTTGTTTTATAATGTGTGCTTCTTCATGGTTTATGAGGACATGATTGGTTTCAAGTACCAAAATAGCTTGACAAAACAATTACAAAAACCTCTGTAGAAGACAAGTCTTTGTGTTTGTCAAAGTGACGGGCTCATATAGGTACTAAAAGTGAGAAGCAAAGAAAGATGAAGAAAACTACTGAAAGCTTTAAGGCTCGCATAACCAATCATGTCCTCATAAACCCTGAAGAAATACACAGATTTAATAAAACAATAGTCTACTGCTAAGTCACATCTAATAGACATACTTGGTCCTTATAAACCATGACTAAACACGCAGGACTGCTACACTGCATTTAGCAGAGATAGGAAACTGTTATTTTAGCACTTAAAGGGATAGTTCATCCAAAAAATAACATTTACTCTATTAATTTACCCTCAAGTGTTCCAAACCTTTATGGGTTTATTTCTTCTGTTAAACACAAAAGATACTTTGAAAACCAATATATATTGACTTTCATATTATTTGTGTTTTCTACTATGGAAGTCTATGGTTACAGGTTTACATCTTTTTTTTAAAGTACTTTCTTTTGTCTTTAACAGAAGAAATAACCCAAAATGGTTTGAAACAAGTAAAATGTAAGCAAATAATGACACATTTGTACCGTTTGGGTGAACTATCCATTTAGGGAGTGTCAAAATAGCATTACAAAAGAATTAACAAACCTCTGTAGAAGACAACTCTGTTTGTGTTTGTCAAAGTGACGGACTCATGAAGGTACTGAAAGAGAGAAGCAAAGATAAAGAAAATTTACCATTCGTTTACTTACTGTTTTAAGCTTTGCATAACAAACCATGCCCTCATAAACCATGAAGAAACACACGTTATAATAGTCTACTGCTAGCACAATGTAAAACTACACATACTGTGTCCTCATAAACCATGAAGAAACACGCAGTTTCCATAAAACAACATCCTACTGCTAAGTCACATTAAATAGACATACTTGGTCCTCATAAACCATGACTAAACACACAGGACCGCTACATTGCATTTAGCTGAAAAAGGAAACGTTCGAGGTTACAGAAGTAACCCTTCGTTCCCCGAGGAGGGGAACGGAAGTGCCATGAATGGGAGGATTCGGATCAGAAGCCGCTTATCTGGAGAGTATTGAACGGGCCAATGAATGAAATTAATTGGCAGCGTAAGCTTGCGCAGGTGTGCGACATCTGCAATTATCTCAGCATATAAGCACACCTGAAGCCAGCAGACGCCATCCTTTTAAGCTGAAGAGACTTTCAAACAGCTAAGGGACAGTCATTATGGCGACGGAATATGGCACTTCCGTTCCCCTCCTCGGGGAACGAAGGGTTACTTCTGTAACCTCGAACGTTCCCCTTCGGTTGGGGAACTTCAGTGCCATGAATGGGAGAATATGGAAAGCGCCACAATGACTGCACCTTACCAACACCCCCGATGAGGAGATAGTCAAGCAAGCGTGACGCACCCACATCATGGGGGGCGCGGTCCTCCAACGTGTCCCTGGCCCTAATTTATCCTACTTCAACAGAAGTTTTACGGATTTAGATATATTTTTTGGGAAGTCGTGAGCATCTAGATAATTCTAGGAATACGACAGTACGTTGGGAAGCGTGCAATCCCGATAGGGAGGACGCTGCGGAGGCCATCCGTTACCCAAGGGGGGGATAGATGGCAGAATTTACCTATGGACTAGCCCTAAAAAGGGGGAGTACGCATAGCAAAGAGTGGTTAGCGGAGAGGGAAGACACGGGTCCGCCCAGGGGGGGGACTTAACCGTGGCGGAATAAGCATATGGGATCGCCTAGTGGGGATCACGCATAGCAGGCACCTATACCCAAAACGCGGGCTGACCAGCGGGCAGACCTACAACGTAGTGGGCCAGCAAGTGACTCCTCCGCTGAGTCAGTGCTGGGGGCCACGGAGGAATCTGCAGGGCTCACCTGACGGGGAACTTTACTGACAGATAAAAAAGGCGCACGTACCTCCGTGTTAGGGAGAATGGCGCAGCAAGCGTGTTTCAACACCCTACCGAGTTGTCTCCTCAATCACCAAAGGGTTACCTAATACCCTTGAGGAAACCGGCTCCACTCGCAGATTGTAAAACCTTGCAAATGTGTTGGGTGTCGCCCAGCCCGCAGCTCTACAGATGTCTGTTAGAGAGGCGCCGCGTGCACGCGCCCAAGAGGATGCAACGCTCCGAGTGGAGTGTGCACGTACTCCCGGGGGACACGGCTGACCTCGACTCGAATAAGCGAGTGAAATGGCATCCACAATCCAGTGGGATAATCTTTGTTTCGATACGGCACTTCCCTGCTGCCGACCGCCATAACAGACAAAGAGCTGCTCAGATGATCTAAAATTCTGAGAACGGTCCACATAAATGCGCAGAGCGCGAACTGGACAAAGTAAAGAAAGGGCTGGGTCTGCCTCCTCCGGGGGCAGCGCTTGCAGGTTCACTACCTGATCTCTAAAGGGGGTGGTAGGAACCTTGGGCACATAACCGGGGCGGGGTCTCAGGATAACGTGAGAGTAATCCGGCCCGAATTCCAGGCACGAGTCACTGACCGAAAATGCCTCCAGGTCCCCGACCCTCTTGATGGAGGCCAACGCAACCAGCAGAGCTGTCTTCAGGGACAGAAATCTTAGAGATACTGATTCGAGTGGCTCAAAGGGATCGGATCGCAGACTCGTGAGAACGAGGGCGAGATCCCAAGAGGGCATGAGAGGGGGGCGAGATGGATTAATTCGCCTAGCACCCCTAAGGAACTGGATGACCAGGTTATGCTTTCCCACGGTGCCGCCAGCTACCGCGCTATGATAAGCGGAGATGGCGGCCACGTAAACCTTGAGAGTGGAGGGCGACAGCCTGCTGTCCAACTTCTCTTGAAGGAAAGAGAGCACAACACTAATCTGGCAATTTCGGGGGTCTTCTCTGCGAGAGACGCACCATTCAGTGAATAGACTCCACTTCAGGGCGTAGGCGCGCCTCGTGGAGGGGGCTCTAGCCTGAGTGATGGTATTAACCACCGCAGTCGGTAGGTTATCTAAGTCTTCCTCGCGTCTAGGGACCACACGTGGAGGTTCCAAAGATCGGGGCGAGGGTGCCAGATGGTGCCCTGTCCCTGAGAGAGTAGGTCCTCTCTCAAAGGGATCCGCCAGGGGAGGGCCGTCGCGAGGAGTGAGAGCTCTGATATCCAGGTCCGGTTGGGCCAAAGGGGCGCAACTAGCAGAACCTGTTCCTCGTCCTCCCTGACCTTGCACAGAAACTGCGCGAGCAGGCTCACTGGGGGAAACGCATACTTGCGCATGCCCCGAGGCCAGCTGTGGGCCAGTGCATCCGTGCCGAGAGAGCCCTCGGTCAGGGAAAAAAACAACTGGCAGTGAGCGTTCTCGGGGGAAGCAAACAGATCGATCTGGGCCTCCCCGAATCGCGCCCATATCAGCTGAACAGACTCGGGGTGGAGTCTCCATTCTCCAGGGCGTAACAGCTGTCGTGAGAGCGCATCGGCTGCACGATTGAGCGTGCCTGGGACGTGAATGGCGCGCAGCGATTTCAGCCGCGGGTGACTCCAGAGGAGCAGACGGCGGGCGAGCTGAGACATGCGGCGAGAGCGCATACCCCCCATGCGGTTGATATACGCCGCCGCCGCCGTACTGTCCGTCCTGACCAGCACGTGTTGCCGCTCCAGCACCGGTAAAAAGCGGTGGAGAGCGAGGAACACTGCCAACAGCTCTAGGCGATTGATATGCCAATGCAGCTGGGCACCCTTCCAGAGGCCCGCAGCCGCATGCCCGCGACACACGGCCCCCCAACCCGTGTTGGAAGCGTCTGTTGAAACAACAACATGGCTGGACGCCTGTCCTAGAGGCACACCGGCCTGTAGGAACGAGGGGTCGTTCCAAGGGCTGAGGGCGCGGCGACACAGCGCAGTAACCGAGACCCGGTGTGTGCCCGCGTGCCATGCGCGTCTGGGGACCCGATCGTGAAGCCAGTGCTGAAGTGGTCTCATATGGAGCAACCCGAGCGGCGTGACGGCGGCTGCGGATGCCATATGCCCCAGGAGCCTCTGAAAGAACTTCAGTGGGACCACTAGTTTGCTGTCGAGCTCCCTCAGACAGTTCAGCAACAGGCGAGCGCGTTCCTCGGAGAGGTGCGCTACCATGGTGATCGAGTCCAGCTCCATCCCGAGAAAAGAAATCCTCTGCACGGGGGCGAGTTTGCTCTTTTCTCGGTTGACCTGAAGCCCCAGTAGGCGGAGATGCCGAAGCACCTTGTCCCTGTGCATAATCAATTGCTCCCGCGAGTGGGCTAAAATCAGCCAGTCGTCGAGATAATTGAGTATGCGAATGCCCGCGAGCCGAAGGGGCGCTAGGGCACCCTCCGCGAGTTTGGTGAAGACCCGCGGAGACAGAGAGAGCCCGAAGGGGAGGACCTTGTACTGCCACGCTTGACCCTCGAACGCAAACCGCAGAAATTGGCGGTGGCGTGGAAGAATGGAGACATGGAAATACGCGTCCTTCAGGTCTATGGCTGCAAACCAATCCCGAGGACGAACGCATTGGAGAATGCGCCTCTGCGTGAGCATTCTGAACGGCAGCTTGTGCAGACAGCGGTTCAAAACGCGCAGATCTAGGATTGGCCGTGACCCACCGCTCTTTTTGGGTACGATGAAGTATGGGCTGTAAAACCCACTCTCCATCTCGGCTGGAGGAACCGGCTCGATTGCACCCTTCGCCAGGAGGGCAGCAATCTCCTCTCGCAAGACAGGGGCGGACAGGGGGTTGACCCTGGAGAAATACACGCCCGTAAACTTGGGGGGCCGTTTCGCGAACTGAATCGCGTAACCGAGTCTGATTGTGCGTATGAGCCACCGCGAGGGGCTGGCCCGCGCTAACCAGGCAGGCAGAGCCCTCGCTAATGGAGTCATCGCTACAATCGCTGACGTACCAGCGGTGGGGCAGCGCGGAGTGGGTGTGCTGATCCGGGAAGCACGAGGGTCCCGCGGAAGAGCTGGAGGAGAGCGATTCGCTCTGGCTCCGCACCCTGACTCCGGAGAGGGGGCTGGAGGGCTGAGGAAAGGGAGACCGTCCCCCCAGCGCTCGTGAGCCACTGGCGAAGCACGTAGAGTCTGCGAGCCGGAAGGCAGCGCGTCCCGGACTGGCAGAACTCGTGCAGTCACATCCGGGGAAGGGAAAAAGTGCTCTTTTACTGATGTTTTGGTGGCACTGAAAAGTACCGTTGTTATCGGGGCCCCGCCCTCCAGCGGGGAAAGAGCAAGTTTCCTCTTCTCCGGATGGCCTGTCTCAGGGACGCTTCGCGGTCCGTTTACCGGACTTAACGGCGCCCTGGGCAGGAGGGGCTGCCTGCTTTCGAGGTGAACGCCGCGCCCGCTTGGCCGGAGGCGCAGGCGGGGGCGGGGCAGCACTCGTTGGCGGGCGCCCTCGGCGAGGAACAGCGGAGGTGGATGGCTCGGCGGGCGGAGCGGGCTTACGGCCACGCCGATAGATGACATTGCCCATCGCATCCGACTGCTCTTTCACCGCCTTGAATTCCTGGGTGAATTCACCGACGGTGTCGCCGAACAGGCCAGCCTGGGATATGGGCGAGTCAAGAAAGCGAACTTTGTCAACGTCGCGCATATCGGCCAGGTTTAGCCAGAGGTGGCGTTCCTGAACCACAAGTGTGGACATCGTCCTCCCCAGCGCACACGCGGCGGACTTAGTAGTCCGAAGAGCATAGTCGGTCGCGGTGCGCAGCTCATGTAATAAGCTTGGGTTGGACCCGCCCTCGTGCAGCTCGGCCAGCGCCTGCGCTTGGTAGCGCTGGTAGGTGGCCATCGCGTGCAAAGCAGAAGCAGCCTGGCCCGCAGCCTTATAAGCTCTGGCTCCGAGGGAGGCAGACAACCTACAGGCTTTGGACGGGAGGCGGGGCAAACCCCGCCACGTAGAGGCGCCGCGCGGACAAAGATTGACCGCGATAGCGCGCTCCACTGACGGGATCGCCTCATACCCCCTGGCAGCTCCGCCGTCAAGGGCGGTGAGGGCGGAGGCACTCGCAGCACGGGCAGAGAAAGGTGCCCTCCAGGACTGCGTGAGCCTACTGTGCACTTCCGGGAAGAAGGGGACGAGAGGCTTCGAAGGCTTCGCCTTCTGGTCCTCTACGTAGCACCCATCTAGTCGGTCCGGCCGCGGAGCTGGGGGATAAACCATCTCCAACCCCACGGCCGAAGCAGCCCGGGAAAGCACGGCTAACATGTCCGCTTCAGGATCCGATTTGACAGCGCTCACCTGCCCGGAGGGGGCGAGCGGGTCCGGATCTTCGTCGGACAGTGAAAGCCCACCCTCCGATGCCGCGGAGGACATCTGATCTCCGGTGTCAGCGAGTGTGAGAGCTACCATCTGGTTAGACGGATCACTCTCACCACCCGAAGCTTGGATGGAGCGCCGTGAGGAGCGAGAGGTCCGCGAGCCCGTGGGCGGCGGATTAGCTCCCGCTGAAACCCTCAGATCTGCCCGAGCGCCCGCTGCTTTTTTAGAGCAGGAGGCAACTGGGGTGGCTCGCTCTCTTGCGAAAGTTAGCCGCGATCTTAGCTGTGCAACGGTCATGGCATCGCAATGACGACATGAACCGCCCGCGAGCACCGCATTAACATGCTGGACCCCCAAACATGCAATGCAGTGATCGTGTCCATCATCCGGTGACAGGAAACCCCCGCATCCAGAAACGCACAGTCGGAGCGCCATCCTGAAAAGGACGTGCTGCACGACTGTGTTGCTCTTTTAGGAAAGTTGCAACTATACGCACCGCTCTGGAGGACCGGACCCAAAGAACCGCAGGCAAGGGAGTAACCCAGCTCGACCGTCTGCCACCGCGAAGACCCACTCTGGACCGGGAGACACACTCGTTCGCTCTGAAGTGCTGATCAGCAAGAGGAACCCTCATCGACTCACTCAGAAAGGATCTGAAGCGAAAAGGATGGCGTCTGCTGGCTTCAGGTGTGCTTATATGCTGAGATAATTGCAGATGTCGCACACCTGCGCAAGCTTACGCTGCCAATTAATTTCATTCATTGGCCCGTTCAATACTCTCCAGATAAGCGGCTTCTGATCCGAATCCTCCCATTCATGGCACTGAAGTTCCCCAACCGAAGGGGAACTGTAATTTTAGCATTTAAAGGGATGGTTCACTCAAAAATGAACATTTAATCACTATTAATTTACCCTCAAGTTTTCCAAACTTTTATGTGCTTATTTCTTCTGATAAACAACAAAAACAAGATAGTATGATGGAAGAAGAAAACCTGCAATCAATGACTTCCATAATAGAAAACACAAATAATATGGAAGTCAATGGTTACAGGTTTCCATCTTTTTTCAAAGTATCTTCTTTTGTGTTTAACAGAAAAAATAAACCCATAAAGATTTAAAACAAGTAAAGGGTGAGCAAATGATGACACAATTGTACTGTTTGGGTGAACTATCCTTTTAAGGAGTGTCAAAATAGCATTACAAAAGAATTAACAAACCTCTGTAGAAGACAACTCTGTTTGTGTTTGACAAAGTGACTGGGTCATGGAGGTACTGAAAGAGAGAAGCAAAGAAAGATGAAGGAAACATGACATTCGCTTACTGAAAGCTTTAAGTCTCACAAAACCAATCATGTCCTCATAAACCATGACTAAACACACAGGACTGCTACACTGCATTTAGTCTAATTAAGAAACTGTCATTTTAGCACTTAAAGGGATGGTTCACACAAAAATGAACATTTACTTACTATGAATTACAGGTTTACATCTTTTTTAAAAGTATTTTGTTTTGTCTTTAACAGAACAAATAAAGAAACAAGTAAAGGGTAGGCAAATGAGGACACAATTGTACTGTTGGGTGAACTATCCCTTTAAGGAGTGTCAAAATAACATGACAAAAGAATAAACAAACCTCTGTAGAAGACAACTCTGTGTTGGTCAAAGTGACGGGCTCAGGGAGGTACTGAAAAAGAGAAGCAAAGATACGATTTTTTTAACATTGTTAAATTACTTTAAGTCACGCATAACAAATCATGCCCTTACAAATTACGAAGAAACACACGTTATAATTGTCTACTGCTAGCACTATGTCAACCTACACATACTGTGTCCTCATAAACCATGAGTAAATACACAGATTTAATAAAACAACAACCTACTGCTAAGTCACATCTAATAGACATACTTGGTCCTCATAAACCATGACTAAACACACAGGACTGCTAACCTGCATTTAGCAGAAATAGGAAACTGTTAATTTTTAGGTGAACCATCCCTTTAAGTGCTAAAATGACATTTACTCACTATTAATTTACCCTCGAGTGTTCCAAACCTTTAAGGGTTTATTTCTTTTGTTAAAAACAAAACATACTTTGAAAAACGATGGAAACCTGTAACCATTGACTTTTATATTACTTGTTTTTTACTACTATGGAAGTCAATGGTTACAGGTTTCTATCTTATTTCAAAGTATCTTATTTGTTTTGTTAAACAGAAAAAAGAAAACCATAAAGGTTTGGAACACTTGAGGGTAAACTAATAGTGAGTAAATGTTCATTTTTGGGTAAAACTATCCTTTCAAGAAGTATCAAAATAGCTTGACAAAAGAATTAACAAACCTCTGTAGAAGACAACTCTGTGTTTGTCAAAGCGACTGGCTTATGGAGGTGCTGAAAGAGAAAAGTAAAGAAAGATGAAGAAAACATGAGATTCGCTTACTGAAAGCTTTAAGTCTCGTTTAACCAATCATGTCCTCATAAACCATGAAGAAACACACACGTTATAAAACAACAGTCTACTGCTAACATTGCATTCTACATACAGTGTCCTCATAAACCATGAAGAAACACACAGATTTATTAAAACAATATCCTACTGCTAAGTCACATCCAATAGACATACTTGGTCCTCATAAACCATGACTAATCACACAGGACTGCTACACTGCATTTAGCAGAAATAGGTAACTGTCATTTTAGCACTTAAAGGGATGATTCACACAAAAATTAACATTTACTCACTATTAATTTACCCTCAAGTGTTCCAAACCTTTATGGGTTTATTTTGTCTGTTAAACACAAAAGAAGATACTTTGAAAAACGATGGAAACCTGTAACCATTGACTTTCATATTATTTGTGTTTTCTATTATGTAAGTCAATGGATACATGTTTCCATCTTTTTTCAAAGTATCTCATTTGTTTTATTAAACAGAAAAAAAAACCATAAAGGTTTGAAACACTTGAGGGTAAATTAATAGTGAGTAAATGTTCATTTTTGGGTGAACTATGCCTTTAAGAAGTGTCAAAATAGCTTGACAAAAGAATTAACAAACCTCTGTAGAAAACAACTCTGTTTGTGTTTGTCCAAGCGACGGGCTCATGGAGGTACCAAAAGCAAAGAAAGATGAAGAAAACATGACATTCACTTACTGAAAGCTTTAAGTCTTCCATAACCAATCATGTCCTCATAAACTATGAGTAAACACACAGATTTAATAAAACAATAGCTTGCTGCTAACTCACATAAAATAGACATACTTGGTCCTCATAAACCCTGACTAAACACACAGGACTGCTACGTTGAATGTAGTAGAAATAGGAAACTGTCATTTTAGCACTTAAAGGGATGATTCACACAAAAATGTATATTTACTCACTATTAATTTACCCTCAAGTGATCCAAACCTTTAAGGGTTTATTACTTCTGTTAAACAACAAAAACAAGATATTTTGATGGAAGAAGAAAACCTGCAATCATTGACTTCCACAACAGAAAACACAAATAATATGGAAGTCTATGGTTACAGGTTTCCATATTTTTTCTAAGTATCTTCTTTTGTCTTTAACAGAAGAAATATCCCAATAAAGGTTTGAGACAAGTAAAGGGTGATCAAATAATGAGACAATTGCACTTTTTGGATGAACTATCCCTTTAAGGAGTGTCAAATTAGCATGACAAAATAATTAACAAACCTCTGTAGAAGACAACTCTGTTTGTGTTGGTTAAAGCCACAGGCTCATGGAGGCGCTGAAAGAGAGAAGCAAAGAAAGATGAAGAAAACATTAAAAGCTTTAAGTCTCGCATAACAAACCATGTCCTCATAAACCATGAATAAACAGATTTAACAAAACAATAGCCTACTGCTAAGTCACATTCAGTAGACATACTTGGTCCTCATAAACCATGAGCAAACACACAGATATTAAAACAATAGCCTATTGATAGGTCAGCAAACTTGACATTGTTTCTCTTGATATCTTAATATTGTAAGCTATAAAAAAAGCTTTAAATATTAGTAATATTTGTTATTTCTCAAATGTGGTTGTTATTGCTCAATTTTGCATAGATCTGGCATGTTAAACTTTAAATTGGTCTTTAATGCACAGGACAGAGATGACATCAGAATACAAATTCAAAATTCTGAAGATGAGTGTTAGATGTATGCTTGCACTCTCTTATGGTCCACATGCAAATAGATCATTTTCACTGGTATAATCAGGCATTTGTCATCATCAGATTTCAACTTGCATTATTTTCATCATTTAACAACAGTAGTTTATACTGCCACTGTGTAAACGTTTAATCTTACACATAATACTCACCGTGTGAATAGAGGCTAATCTAAAGAAAAAACGTTGAATTGTTATATTGCGATTCTCAATATAATAATGTATCGCTACACCCATATTAAATGTATTATTATATGAAAATAACTGCACAGATACAGGAACAATAAGAAAATATCTCTTCAGATCAACATTTAGAAGATAATTATATAGACAAACCTCTTTGAAGCTCACTCTGTTTAGAATTCAAAGATAATGGCTCATGAAGAGACTGAAAAACATAATCAAAACACAGAAAATAAAGCTAAAACAACTCAAGTGTGTGCTAAACAGACATTATTAAACATTATATTTAATACTACATACAGTTCAAAATATGCCAATTTTTTAAATAAAATCCAATATATCCTACCTTTGCTTTTTCATGTTTGTTACAGGAGAGAAGGTCAACTCCTCCACATGACACACTCTAAAATTACAATTGTATGTTGTGATATCGTGCAGAACAATGTTTTAAAATTAAACACAAGGTACTTTTTTTATACAAGATTAAAATAGTAACTCTGCCAAATAAAAACAGTTCTGTCAACACATGAACACCGACTCCACAGAGTATGCATCACAAACTTTTATGGACAAACAGTGAAAACTGATACAGATGAAACTAAATCATTGAAAAAATTCATTATGTTGGTTTAATAGTGCACAAAAAGTACACTGTACAGGAAACTGGCCCAAAACAATTATCTAATACTTTACTATTTGATAGTGTCAGGCCCGGATTAAGAACTCAAGAGGTCTGTATTAAAAAATGATTTAACTACAAAGATTTAACTTATTTTTTAAGCATTTAAAATTTATTAATAAAATTTGTGAAAATTGATGGTATAAGTACACTTGTTCAAGTTAACTGAAGCAGTACTAAAATATATATTTTAAAAGGTATTTATTACTATTCTCCACTGTGCTTTGCGAGAGCGCTTACTGAACAGCACGTTCGTTGACATAAGACTGCCCAGGCACGAATGCAATGTGAGTGCAGGCCGTAGGGGGAGACGGAAGGGGGGAAAAGCATGCTTCAGCCTGGTTCATGGCAACTGTACAGTGCTAGTACGCCCTCAGACACACGATGAATCCAGTCTGCACTGCCATTAGCATATTCCACCTGGTTAATGCTAGCTTGCACATAACATTACCATAACGTCTTCTATACTCTCATTCTCCTCATCATGGGTCTGTTTGAAGAAGTGAATACATGAAACATGCCTCAATAAAGATGCACCCTCTCCTCTTTTTCTCTTGTGATTGCCAAATCCACTTGTTCACTCATTTTGATCTACCGCAAATACTACACTACAGTCCGCTCAATTCAGTGCAGGTTATTTCAAAACTTACATGCACTTCACCAATTAGAGCATGCTGTTTAGTTAAAAAAAAGTAAAGGAAAGGAAAAAATCTGCATGCTTTTTATACATGGTGACATTTTCTGACAATTTAAATACAATGATAATAATAATATATGATATTGACTATTTGCTAAGAGGAAATGCCTAGTTTCTAAAAAAAATGTTTTTAAAGAGAGGGAGGCAACCTTTATTAAGACATGTGCAACCTATTAAATGCTCTTCAACAGAGCCATGAGGTAGGAGAATATGGGTGAAGTAGCGCTAGTTGTGGCAAATGATAATCGACAGGCTAACCAGGGTTTGGGAAAGGGTGACTAATAGTGGTGTAACGGATCCAAAATCTGCAGTTCGGATCACTCTACGTTTTTTGAGTTATGGATCGGACCATTTTTTGGATCAGCAAAAAAGAGAGGAGACAATTTGCTTTCCATTTATACAAAAATGTTACTGCATAAAACATTGCTTTTAACAAACAGAAAATAGAACCTGTAATTTTAATAAAAAATAAAAATCAGGAAATAACCAGCTAAAAAAAGTATTTAATATGAAATATGATCTTTGCTACTGTTGCTGATAATGCAAAATATATAGAAATCTTGTACAACATATATTTATCTTCAATTAATGATTCAACAATTCACACATAAAACTTCATGTTTCATTATACTGTAGGTGTATTATATTTGAAAACCTATTCAATGACATAATTTTGATGTTTGTTTGTCGCCATCTGTTGGTTACACAATGTAGTTGCTTTCACCAGCATCTTGTTTCATTAAACAGTGATTTTATTCTTACCATAATGAATGCATTAATGCAGGCTAAACAAACAGTGACAAAGAAAACACCTTAATAGCCAAAAGCATTTATGTAGGTCCCACAACGTCATCATTATATTTTACAGGGAAGCCAAAATGCTTTCATTCATGCAATTTGAATGACACGGGAGGCGATCTCTCTGCGATTGTTATAAATGTTGGATTAACCTACAAGTTCAAAAAAAGTTATTAATCTACGGGTCACGCGCATTCCGAACCGTGGGTTGTGATCCATATCGATCACGGATCAACAGTGATCCGTTACACCCCTAGTGACTAACATCACAAATAAATAAATACAAATGAATTCTATTAAGATGTTGCTAACGTTTGAAAATAACTTTATTATATATTTAAAATAACTATTTAGAGAAATAAGATAAACATCATCAAAACACACGAGGCACTTGTGACTTTATTTAACATTTGCATTATTTTAATTATTTTTTAAATGTTTCCTAAAAATAAATGTATTTCCCATCTGATATGCAATGGGGAGAAAAAAAAATAAGAATAAGTTCAGCAGAAGGTATATTAGAACTCGAGTTGATGATCAATCGCGTCAAAACATGTTGCTATGTGCATTACAAGCTACACCACTGGCGCTATTTAGTTATGTTGTCTCTGTCGGTCAGACATCACTTGTCTGACAAAATTTGTGTAAATGGCTTATTCCATCAATGTGTGTTATTAGCCATTGGTTAATCCGGCCATGGATAGTGTACAATCTTTAATAGTTTTAACTTTTCACTAATATGGAAATCATTAATATTAGCATTTTTAGACTCTTAAATTAAACATTAACATTTTAAAGTGTGGTTTTCAATTAAGACATTTCTTTTTATTATTATTATTTAAATGTTATTTGTTGACATTTATAATGACATGTCATCAAATCATCATTCATGACTTAATTTTTTTGTGTTAAATTAAACTCCTTTTTGCATCTTAACATTTTATACACTATGCTTATAATGAAACATTAAATGGGGACTACCTGCAGTAAGAAAAAACATGTACAAAACTTTGGTACCTTTGATCGTCACTGATGTACCTCCACGTAAGCATGTCTTTATCCTTCCCCAACCTCACATGATGAGCAGCATCTTTCAAAGGATTTAATCCTCTGCTTTGACTCTTACCACCATTCATTCACTGTTAAAATATTATATAAGGTTAAACTTCACAGTTTATAATATCAATACAATACCACATATGCAAAGCAGTATTAATATATGTGACGTAGTGTAAAATTCTCTAAAGAAGACCAAAACAGAACAAAATAGTAATATAGTTATCAAATTTCATAATACAGTTATCACATTTCAAACCATTTAACAAAATATAAGTTAGTAGTGCACTATTTTGACAATTTGATCAAATAAAGTTATTTAACTAGGGTAAGTTAACCTCTTTTCATAATAAAAGTTCATTTATTCAAATGTACAGTTTAACTGAACACAAGTTTATCACAAAAAAAAAACATTAGAAAAAAATAAAACCACACATTTACATTACTAAATTCAAACATTTTGTTCAATCATGCTTAATAATTCAAGTTTAGTAAATTGTTTCTACGTCATATTTATGTTTAATATACCTTGTTACCATGTTATTTATACCATATTCGAATGGTCATTGCTTCTCACATAAAAGTATGTGTAGAAAAAAAATCACAAATTACATAGTGCATCTATCATAACGTTACATCTCATGGAATCAGACGGCGAATTGTTTACCGCGGAGGAGTGAGCTCTGCCCGGTTCTGGGTTAAATCGACACCGGCGCTTCCGAGCCAGATACAGGCCGAGCGCGTGCTATTATTAGCAAATACACATTTTGAAGAACTACGTCTGATGCTGCCATTACAAACACCTATTTCTAACGTTTATTTGTTCTCATCTTCTGTTCCCAGTCACTAATTATTATTGTCTAAAACAGTACGCGCCGGATATAAATATATAAATAAACTTGCTATTTTGAATAACAAGTGGAATAATACAGTACATATAATAATAAATAATGTACAAAGTATTAAAAACAAATGACTTACTTGTTTGATGTGAGTTTCACTGCTTGAAGCGCGACTGTCACGTCCACAGTCTTCATGAGGGACGTTTTCCCGCGATTGAATGTATGGCGCGAAATTGTGTAAGATTTGGCGCGAGTGTGTATAGAAGTGCAGTACCAAGTTCCGCCTACAGAGGCGCTGTTCAAAGATCACACAAACACATCATGGTTTACAAGACCATATTTGTAAAGGTCATAAAAAGCACACCAAGTGTAATAATAACCAAATAACAATGTGAACTTTTGAAACAAGTCTTATAATTATCATTTAGGTCATTGTAATGAATAATCATCATTTAAACCATTTTTAATATCAACTTAAATTTTTAGTTTATGAGACCACCAAAAATGGTCTCATAAACTAAATGGTCTCATAATGCTGGTGGGTAAACCTGAAAATTGGTTCCATAAACCACATATGCCAACACACACACACACACACACACACACACACACACACACACACACACTTCCAAGAAATATTTAAAAAGATCTGCAAGTTATAAACAATTCATTTGCACTACTTTGAATTCTAAGTTTAGATAAAAAAAAAAAAAAACACAATAAAAAAATTAATTGCATGCAGAAACATTTTTCTACTTTAGTTTGTTTATTCTTTTTTTCAGTATTGTATGTTCATATCTAGTTTACATTTCAGAAATGCAAGAAAAGCATCTCAATTTTGTGATATTAGTATTAGGATATTTAAAGTCATAAATATGACATTAAGCAAATAGGTTGCAGTTATTTGCCAGAAAAGGCGAGGTTATGTTGCACATTTCATACACAATGATAATTCAAAGTGCTTTACGTAAACAAGAATTAAAGAGACAAGTATTAGAAAATTTAAAGCAAAAAATAAAAATCATTAAAACAGATTAAAATGTGTCTTGTAAAAAATGTTTTACAAACTGGAAAATAAAATAAGGACATAATAGTGTGATCTGTTGGCCGTAGCACAGTGCTCATTCAGTAAAGGCACAGCTAAACAGATCTGTTTTCTCTCTTGATTTGAATATGTCTAATGTTGGAGCACATCTGATTATTTCTGGAAGCTGATTCCAGCAGCGAGGGTCATAGTAGCTAAGGCGGATTAATCCTGCTTTGAACAAACTCTGGGAATTTCTAGTTTATTTGATTCTAAATATCTAAGTGATCTGTTAGCTGTGTATTAAATGAGCATATCTGTAATGTATTGAGGTCCTAAAAACGTTCATATATGCTGCTGTGTTACTGCTGTGTCAGATCCAACAAAAAACAACCTGAAGCTTGCTTAATGCCTCCATACAGACTTGGATTTGAGGGTCTGGTAGACCTTCAGCCCTTCATAAACCCACTTCTCTCTGATTTAGACATGACCTGTGCTGTTTATCTTAGGCTGTATTTAGCACCAGATGCTGTAGTGAGCTTCATGGTAATGCTGCTGATTTGCTTCCTGACAGGTCACGGCCTGGCACAATATGCCTGTTTTTTTAAGGGTTTTATTTTATGGAAAAGCACCAGACATTATACCTTTTTCGTCTAATTGGAATGCCGTTCCCATGGGAGCCTGTTGCATGGCCATGTTATAATAGAGATTTATTGGATGGGATTATTTTCAGCTCTGCTTACCCTCTGGATTCATGCTGGGACAAATAGATGGTATCTCAACTTTAAGCCACCTTTTGATTTGGCGGAAGCTACAAAAATCCATTCCTACAGACATTTTTAGCAGGAATCCATTGTGGAAATGGATGCTTATAGACTGCGTCTGATCTCTTGTAGAGAACATGCTTGCTTTTTTGCTATAAGTTCTGCTCAGAGGAAGATATTTGTATTTGGGAATTGTATTTACCGCAGAAGTGATCGCACCTCATTAAGATATTCTTGTTTGGATGTTTTATTGTACATTAGTCAAGATGGTTTATCTCAAAGTCTTGCTAGGTGTGCAAAGTATAATTACATCCCTACATCCTCTTTTCAAATTATAAATAATTTATGTCATTAATAATTAGACTATTTGCTAGTTATTGTAAACATAGTTCGCTTCTATTTAAATCCACTACATTATTAGCATAATCAAAAATTATACCGTATATTGATACAAAAAAACACAAACATCACCATTACGCAACTGAAACAGACAGTCATCAATATCTACTTCATCAATCTTTAACAGTGTTGGGCACAATCTTTCAAAAGAGTAATTTAGTTATAGTTACTAGTTCTCACAAATAGTAACTGAGGGCCCTATCATACACCCTGCGCAATGTGGCGCAAAGCACGGCAAAATGCTTGTTTGGTAGTTTCAGCTTGGCGCAAGAGTCGTTTTGAGGCGTTGCGCTACGCTGTTAAAATAGCAAATGCATTAGCGCTCATATGTGCGCCCATAGGCGTTCTGGTCTAAAAAGGAAGGTGTTCTGAGGCGCACTGCTGGCGCATTGCTATTTTGAGAAGCTAAAATAGATTTTTCATTAGACCAAAACAAACCCGGTCTAAACTCCGGTGCAGAGTTGCACCTTGCTTACGCACTGC